CAAGGGCGACATGCACAATCGCCAAGCATTGTCCCTGGGGATGTTGTGGAAGAGTCTGAAAGACTACGATCTCTGGCCGATATATATCATCGGGATCATGTTCGAAATCCCGACTTCACCTCCGAAGTCCTATCTGACCTTGTCGCTAAAGGCGATCGGCTTTTCCACATTCCAGACGACCCTCCTGTCCATTCCGGTGACTGTCTTTGCCGCTATCAACCTTGTACTCGTCGCGCTCTTATCTGAGTTCTGGGCCCAAATCTCAATTGTTTGCCTCCTGACACAACTCTGGTCGCTTCCACTCCTCATTATCCTCTATACATCTGCTGGAAGCCTTTCCAATTGGGGGCTCTATGCCGTCTCATTTATCTTGCTGGGCTGGCCAAATCCGCAAGCTGCCCAGGTGAGTTGGTGTTCACGGCTAAGTAACAGTGTCAGAACCAGAGCAGTCGGTGCTGCAGTCTTTAACATCATGATTCAGTTGTCTGGTATCGCCTCCTCCAACATTTACCGATCGGATGATAAGCCTTTGTATCGCCGTGGAAATAGACAGCTGATTGCGATCAATGTTGCCACTATTGTCATGTACGCGTTGGCCAAGTTTTATTATGTCTCTCGGAACCGGTGGAAGAAGGCTCAGTGGGACAAGATGACGGCCCAGGAGAAGGCGACTTACTTGGAGACAACGACGGATGAGGGCAATAAGCGACTTGATTTTTATTTCGATAGTTGAAACAGGTATCATGCTGCTAGGGAAATGCGCGGGTTTGTAGGAGACGTGCTTGTCAAAAGACTTAGTGTTCAGTAGCGGACCGCATTAGCGAAGAGAGGCTGTTTGTCGACAGGATAAGCAATAAATAGAAAGACTGATCATGAAAATAATCATCCATACATTGTCTTAAAATAGTGAACTCGTCAATTCCTTCTAATTAAGGACTTATTTATCAGAGCGACCAGTAGAACGTGTCGTTCGTACCTTCGGCTATGACCCAGTCGAATACTTGTAGGGTAGCAATAAAATCGAAATAGCAGATGTCATACGTAAAATCAAGAAGCATATATTTTTCTGCAATAAAATGAATAAAATTTCAGATTATCTCGGACAGAAAGATCTTTTGCCTGGGTTTATGCACTTTCTACCGATTCTGGTCCGCGGCAGATTAGTTAAATTTTTTAGGTTGGACGGAAAGAAAAACGAAAACGAACCGAAATAGAAACAAGGGTCCTCCGACTTAAACGAATATACGAGTGGATCCCCACTATCGATCTTGGATCATCGGCGAAAAGGTCACCAAATTCAGTATAGGATGCTTACATCCAATAGCAGCTACTTTCTAGACAGTAGCGTCTGTTTCAAGCTTCTTGATCCGACCGACTTCTAGACCCGAATAAACCACCCCGTTCCCTGCGTGAACAATGCTAAGGCCATAGTACCCATGAAGTGTACTCCGTAGCCCCATTTTATCGTACTATACACGAAGTTCATTGCAAAGCATCATTTCCTCAGCCTCGCTTGTGCGGGTCCATTTTCTATTAGTCTGTTGTGCGAAGCCCCATGTCACTATGGAGTGATAGTATAAGTACCTAGCTTGATAACGAGAACTTTCCCCGTCCGGCCTTCGAAAGATTTCCAGGCCCTCCTCTCACTACTAATTATTATTTTCTTCTCACACTCTTTCACAATCTTATATACCTGTATTCTTTGTTATTACTTTTCATTGACCACAAAAATGCTGGGCTCCAGGGATCCCGAAAGTTATGAATTCGCATTTTACCGCTATGACCCCAGCATGGGTGGCGCCGTTCTTTTCATCCTTCTCTTCATTGGCACAACAGGGTATCATGTCTTCCAAATGGTCAAGTCTCGCACATGGTTCTTCATCCCATTTGTCATAGGCGGTATATGTACGATACGCTTGACTGTTCATAGCCTAGAAACATGCTGACCCTACTAGTTGAGATCATCGGATATATCGGACGTGCCATGTCCAGCAAGCAAAGCCCAAACTGGACGCTCGGACCTTACATTGTGCAGACGCTCTTTCTCTTACTCGCCCCTGCTCTTCTTGCAGCCTCTATATACATGCTACTCGGTCGAATTATCCTAGTGTTACAGGCTGAAACCCACGCACTGCTGAAAAAGAAGTGGTTGACGAAGATATTTGTCACGGGTGATGTGCTTTCGTTCTTATTGCAGGGAGCAGGTACGTGTCTGCTAGTCAAATCCCTCATTATCTAACAGCTCTCTGACACTGTCCAGGTGGCGGAATCCAGTCCAGTGGCAACCTATCTGCCATGAAGACTGGCGAGCACATCATCGTCGTCGGCCTCGTGATTCAAATATTCTTCTTCGCATTTTTCATGATCACCGCGACCCACTTCTACCTGAAGGTCAAGAAATATCCGTTCCCTCGATCTTGTTCTCCGCATATTCCTTGGAAGAAACACATGAACGTACTCTACTCGACGAGCTTCTTTATCATGGTCCGTTCCATGTTTCGACTCATTGAGTACATTCAAGGAAATAATGGGTTTCTCTTGCACCATGAAGCCTTTCTTTATATTTTCGATGCACTGTTGATGTTTATCACCATGGTCATATTCAACGTTATCCATCCGCAAGAAATCGGCCAGCTACTCCGTCACCCCAAAGACTATGACATGACGTCTTTCTCGGAAGAGCTGACCCCAAAGCCCTACCAAGGGTACAATAACGTGTGAGAGTTGTGGCATTCCTGCTACATTTGGTCGTTATTCAATTTTTCCCTGTTCGCGCTATATATATTACGTTCGTTGTCTGCTTTCCAGTCCCGATTCTTTATTACTTCTACTCTACATCTTAATAACATCTTAATTTCAGGAGGATGAACAAGCCTTGCCAAAATGTGGGGCTTATAGCCATATTACCGTCACGTGACCTTTGGCTCAAGAGGCCGGGTTAATGCAATCAGAAACAATAGAATCAAGACATATTGTATAAATCAGTTCTGTACCGACCAGGCGGTTGTTGCTTTTACTCTTATCAGATTGTGGGGTTCAATAAGTTATCTCGACCCCGATCCGTAGAGGCGGATAGTCCGACAAGACATTAGGAACTAGAGCACAATAGGACTGGCTTACAGCGGTACCTCCAAAACTGGCCGTTCTTATACAAGATTGCCCCAATATCAGACCGAATTTTTTTGAGCAGTGAGACATGTCCGACTGTTAGCTGGGACTATTATTAGCATGTCATGCCTTAGGTCGGATTCCGTACATAGAAGGTTAGTGGATGTCTTGAGGGCTTGGACAGAATAAGGCTAGGATGAAACTGGGTGTCTCACTGGGTATCTCGTTCGTCCAACAGCATCCGTTGTTCCGGCCCGCTAGTTTCCACCGCATGTCACTTGTCTCGGATTATTCTTGAGGGCTTGGCATTTCGATCTTCAGGGAGGCGTTGGTTGGTGTACTTAATAAGAGTCATTAACGCCATTATTTTCCCTCTTCAACTTGCGCGAATTGATTATTCAGTATGGCGTCTAAGACCCTGCTACTCATTCCGGCATTGGCCACGGCCGTTCTGGGAAATGTATTGGACCTCGATATTAAGGTCCGAAATGGTTATGTATGTGAAGTCTAGCTGCTCCAAATTTGTTTGCTAAGTCGGGGAAATAGAGAACCATCGAGATTGACCTCGGAACCCCGGGAGGCCCGTTTGATTTGATGTACGACACTGGATCATCAACGCTCTGGGTGCTTGATAGCAATTGTACAGATGATTGTGTGAATGTGAGCGGGTTAGTTCATCACTCCCCCTTATTTCACACGACTATATTACTGACGTCTACCAGCTACTCTCGACACAGCTATAATCTCACTTCTACGGGCGTCGACTTGGGTATCAAAGACAGCATTGATTATAGCGGGGGCACCGTCAGCGGCTTTACAGCCACGGATATTCTCACTGTCCCAAACACTGACGTCTCCTACCGCCAAAGCTTCGCCGTCATCACCGACAGTACCTGGGCGGCATTGGCAGCTGATGGGTTCATCGGCTTGGCATCCTCCACCATCGCTTTCAAAAATACCACGTCCGCCTTCGAACAAATGATGCAGGATGGGCTTTTGGACGAACCTCGATTTGCCCTATACGCAGGTTCCGGGGTGTCGACTACGTCGAATCCTGATCCGGAGAACAACGGCGTGTTTACTTTTGGTGGTAGCCATGAAGATATTTATGCGGGTGGTGATCTGCAGTGGATGACTATGCTCTCCCCGTTCGAGATTTACAAAACAAATCTCCTTGGCATTCAGGGACATAACACCTCCAATGGCGAGAGCATGTCCAGCGAGGTCCTGAACTGGTACGGCCAGGTTATTTTCGACACCGGTATGAACCCCCCTACGACAATCTTATCCCTTCTGAAATGCTCGGACTAACCTATATAATGACGTAGGCGCTTCGGCAATAAGCATCCCCAGCGACCAGATTGAGGCGATGTATGCCCTAACCCCGTTCTCTTACGCCGATATTTCATCCGGATACCGACCTCTGTGCTCCGATTTCAACGATACATGGTCGATCTCCTTTAGCATGGGCTTCTACGGCGAGGGTGTTACCTTCAACTTGACTGGTGATCAGCTGGCTGTACCGGGCTATCAGGACGACGACCATTGCTTCCCCCCTTTCAATCCGTGGGACAGCTACAATACTATCATTGGGCAGCATTGGTTGAGCAACTTCTATGCTGTTTTCGACTTTGGATCTTTTGATCCGGAGACATACGATATTCGTGTTGGGTTGGCTCCTTTGAAGAAGGAATACCTGCCGAGGGCTTAAGCCTAGCTCTGCCCTCTCAGCAATCTAACATTTGCCACCCATCACAGCGCGGATGTGAATATTTGATTTATACGGAGGGAGTTTATTACGTTGAATCTGTAGTAACCCGATTACCATTGAATATTTCGCGCCTTTATCTTACAATAGCCGGCCTACGGTGAATACCGATTGGTTTGTAGGATTAGTGAACCAGGGGGGACCATTTCACACAGGACCAGTGAAGCAGCAGCAGACGGGAAATAATCCTGTGGCGCTGGTGGCGTTGATATTGTGAGCGATTTCGTCCCAGTGCACATATTCTATTGGAAGGGCGTCAAAGGTCGCGGATGTTAGGACGGCTATGGTGACGGCGACGTACATGGATGTGGTTATTGATCCGGGGTTATTTCGGGGCAGGAATTGTATGCGGAATCGTAGGGTTTTATGTTAATGATGCAGACCACCGGGTTTCTTGCCGGTGCTGGGGCGATGAAGACGGAGGTCTGACGGTGTTGTGTATATGGTTCCCTAAAGAGTGTGGGCTGACGGGGATCTCGATAGACATACATAGATCACAGCGATGTACCCTCGCAAGCACAACATGACTAGTGCAACCATGAACACTGATTTTGTGAACAGTACCCCGATAGGGCAGATGAGATGATAATACTAGCGTCAATCTAACCGAGCATCTTCCAAAGCTTTGAAATATCCCTTTATATTCAAAAAATGTCGTATAGTGACAATTTAATGTCCAATATTCGTATACATCATATCCCTCTACTCATCAAGATTATACGGAACCCCTTTCTCGAGCGCGAGATCCCTGGCAGACTTGCCCGAAACGGAACGAATATCAGGATCGGCCCCGGCTTTCATCAGGACATCTAAAACAACCGCCCGTACTTGCCCAGCGCTTTGGTCGTTTCCCGGCGTATAAGTGCGGGTCTCCAGGTAGTAATACAGCGGCGTGCGGCCCTTGTTGTCTTGTGCGTTGATATCCTTGTCAGCACCGTGGGCCAAAAGGAACCTCAGGCCGACCAGCTCCCAGTCTGGATTATGCAGAGTAAGGTGAAGCTCTGTCTGGCCTTGAGAATCGGCCCGCAACTGTGCTCCTGCCTCCATAAAAGTGCAGAACCGTGGAATCATGCCCTCATAGTGGGGCAGCGTGTAGTGAAGGATACTTCGCCCTCGGTCATCGAGACTACTCAGATCAGCCCCCTGTTCTTTGAAGAAATGAAAGAGGCGCATGCTATGTGCCTCAACCTCGGGATCCTCGGGGCTATAGGAGGACCAGCAGTTGGCGAGATGGAACGCAGTTTGGCCGTCCTTCGTGCGATAATTCGCTAAATCCGGGAACCAAGGGCACGTGCGCGGCCAGAGCAGCTTAATGATATCGAGATGACGACGCTGACAAGCTTGGTGGACTGGCAGCCAACCGTTGGCGTTCACCATGAGGGGGTCTGCACCGTGGTCCAGCAGGAACTGTACGCTCGATAAACGACCACTCCTCGCGGCGGCGTGCAGCAAAGAACCCCCTTGGAAGGATCCCGTCTGCGGGATCTCTTCGTTGATGTCTATCACGGCGCCTTCGCGCTCGAAGAAGTACCTGACCAAATCTGGGTGCCCGTTGCGCACCGCGCGAGCGAAAAGGCTCATTTCCCCACTCCTTCCCTCGGGAAAATCCACGCCGTGGTCAACGAGCATATCGACCATATCCAAGCCCATCGAGCAATCAATAGTGGCATAGATGATTGGTCGGTGCTTAACCCAGGAGCGTCTGTATATTGACAATGGGGGTTTTGCGTTTGGGCGGGCCCCGTGGGCAAGTAACAGCCGGAACGTCTCAATCCCCCTTTGCCAGGCAACCTCTGGTTCGTCCGGGATCCTCGGATAGTAGAGGTCGTACACCTCATAGTCAGCGGCATCAGCGAGAGCCCGGTCAAGAACATCTTGTGGTACCCCCGGTGCAGGGTAGTTACGGAGCAGAATGTCCAGCGTTTTCGGATAACGGTGTGATGCTGCTGCAGCGATGGCGAGCGGCCATTCACGGCTGCTAATCGCGTCCGGGGGTAGGCGATCAATCAACCGCCGTACGACAGCGTCGGAGCCATTGAATGCTGCGGCCATAAAAGGAGTGTGTGGCTCGCTAATCCTTCCCCCCAGGATGCCGCGATGTCCATCTGTTCCAATGTCATCCACCGTTGCATCTGCCCCTGCGTCGAGCAAAATATCCACCATCTCGGACGAGTTGTTCGCAGCGACAAGATGCAAAGGTGTCAGGCAAACTTCACCGTAAGGCTCGTCGCCTTTCTGATTGACATCGAACCCTCGGGAAACCAGGTAACGGAGGATGTCTGGCTGTTCCCATCTGATGGCCTCATGTAGCGCCGTGTCACCAAAATGAGGAAGATCCACTCCTTCGGGGGACTCAAGAATCGCAGCCACGGCGGTGATATTGCCAACGCAAGCCCACCCTATTAACTGCTCGTCAGGGCCAGCGTCACTGTTATATGGAATTCCTGGGTAGCGGGCCATAATGGTTGGAGGCTGTGAAGGAAATCAAATAAAAGTGAAATGCAAAAGGAGGATAAAAATTCTGGCATCTAGTAGAGAAAGGAAGTTGAAGTGGAGTAGCGAAGAGTACAGTACCCGGCGGGTTAGCATTGATACGTCTCGCGGAGTATGTTACGGAAGTGGTATGTAAAATACACATGGCTGGGCAGTAGGATACAATGCGGGTCAACCCGCTGGCTGGTCTTTCTAGAAAAGAACTGCCCCCCAAAATAAACTCTAGGCCAAAAAGAGACTCCTTTTCTTATCTGGTTCTGTGCAGTAATACCACTCACTCAAGACGAACAGCTGCCATACACTGACAAGCAATTTGCTGCTGCACAATAGGCATCTGAGCTGCCACAGTATCCGTTTACCGAACAGCAATCACCGAACTGACTGCCCAGGCACGTGGCGCTATTCGAGGACATGAAGCCACAAAGGCCATCGGAACTAATTGGCTGCTCAGTGCAGCTTCCAAAAGCAGACTGGCATTGACCGACCCCACAGTATGCATCTGTGCTGCCACAATAGCCGCTCGTCGAGCAACAATCGCCGAATTGGCTGCCAGCACAGCTTGCATTGACAGAGGACATGGAACCACAAAGCCCATCAGGGCTCACAGTAAACGTGTCACAAGTGCCAAACGAGGAGTCACAGGAGTCAATTCCGCAGTAATCGTCAGTGCTTCCACAGTAGCCATTGACTGAACAGCAGTCCCCGAAAGCGCTACCCGCACATGTTGCTATACCAGTCATTGGAGGAAGGGAGTAACGATCATGTTTACTTCGATCAAGACACGGTGCGATGCCCCGCAGATAAAGAGGCACCGCCCCCCTCGCCTTTCCGTATGATTTCTTCGAGTAAGTGTTCTCTTTTTCCCATTCAAATGTATACACTGCTATCGTGGCTGGGCTTGTTTCTGGCCCTGGCTGGCCAGTCTCTCCAGCAAAGTTGCAGTGAATCTAATCCCTGCGCGCTCGGATGCTGTGGCAAGTCCGGAGTATGCGGCATGGGCCCAACATTTTGCGGGTACGTATCCATCCTCCCCACTGACTGCATATAATACATACCGCTAACAGACTACTTCATCAGGCAGGGGCATTGTACGGCTAGCTGTGGTGCCAAGGCTGAATGTGACCCTGACAATTGGGGTCCAACTTATGTCAATGCTAGCACATGTCCTCTGAACGTCTGCTGCAGTCCGTACGTTGTAGTGCTCTGTCAAGGTGTCTTAAATCACTTCCCACCGCTTGTTCTTTATAGTTATGGGTTTTGTGGTACAACAAGCGACTTTTGCGGTGACACCACCATTACCAGACCATCATGCGACGCCTCAAGTCAGAACGTGTCTCGTATTATCGGCTATTATGAGGCCTATGCTTTGTCTTCGCGCGCCTGCAATGTGCTTCTTCCTTCTGAAATTCCCTATGGAGTTTACACACACGTCAAGTAAGAGCATCATTATGCTACACCCGGTTGTTGCTCAGCTAATTGGAAACAGCTTTGCCTTTGGTACCATTGACCCGATCACTTTTTCGGTACAAGCCACAGATGAAACCGAAAGAACTCTCTTGCAGGAGATAGGATCACTTAAGTTAATACAACCTGATCTTCAAATTTGGTTATCACTGGGCGGGTGGTCATTTAGTGATGCCGACCAGTCTACGCGCTATACATTTTCAGACTTAGCTGCTTCTGAGGAAGATAAGAAGGCATTTTTTGCTTCTCTGATTTCATTCATGGGTACTTATGGCTTTGATGGTGTAGATATCGATTGGTAGGCTCTCACCTCCCTAGATATCGATGATTTATGCTGATTACATTTTGCGGGATAGGGAATACCCTGTCGAGGAGGATCGCGGCGGAACATCCGCTGATTACGATAATTTCCCCACTTTCCTTAAGAGCCTGCAGAGCAGTCTGTCTGGAACAGGGTCAAATAAGGGAATCAGTATCACTCTACCGTCTAGTTATTATTGTATGTTGCTATGCTTTCACCCGCCTCCAAACAAGCAAGTCAGCTAAATCTCGTCCTGGTACTAATTATTACTAGACATGCAACACTTTGATATCGCGAGGTTGTCAAAATATGTGGACTGGCTCAACATTATGGCCTACGATCTTCACGGCACCTGGGACGAAGATAGCAAATGGACTGGCCCATATATCAATGCGCACACTAATATGACCGAGTTGCAGACCACTCTTGACTTGCTTTGGCGCAACGACATTGACTCTAGCAAGGTGGTTGTGGGCATGGCTTATTATGGTCGAAGCTTTACTCTCAAGGACTCGAGTTGCTCGGTGCCGGGCTGTGAATTTATATCTGGAGGGGACGCGGGCAATTGCTCGGTTACCTCCGGTGTGCTGCTAAACCCAGAGATCATGGACATTATGAGCACTAATAACCTGACCCCTACGCTATACAAGGATGCTGCCGTAAAGGCCATCCATTGGGAGAATCAGTGGGTGTCCTATGATGACGAAGATACCTGGAAACTAAAGAGTGAGTGGCTTAAGGGTCAGTGCATCTCGGGGGTGATGGTATGGGCGGCCACTCAGGATGACACCAACGGTACTTGGGCTAAGGCTCTCACTTCGGGCTTGGGAGTGGAAATCAAGGAGCCGGTACAAATTGGGCCACTTTCCCAGCTCCAAACCGCGACGACGACAACGAAGACTCGCAATACTTTGACTCAATGTCGCTGGACCAACTGTGGCGACGATTGCCCGAGCGGCTTCAAGGAGGTCCCGCGCGATGGGACAAAGTTAACAATGACTGACACCACTGGCTGCTCCCCTAGCCGTGAACATAAGTTCTGCTGTCCAGCTAGTGATACAGACTTCCCTACGTGCACGTGGCGTGGTTTCCACAACACAGGCTTCTGCAAAGCCGGATGTAAGGATGGGGAAGCCGAGGTGGGCTCGCTGAAAGAGGGCTGTCGTACCAGTCACCAGAGTGCTTGCTGCACCGTCACCTCCTCCACGGAATCATATTCCAAATGTAAGTGGTTTGGCGGCTCGCCGGGCTGCGCTGGGTCCGGCAAGAACCATTCATGCCCCGACGACTACCCCAATTTTCTGTTCGCAGATAGCAATGGGGCCGGGGGGGAACAGACCTGTTCCTCTGGTCGTAAAAGTTACTGTTGTACAGAAATTCCTGATGAGTTCACCGATTGCAAGTGGTATCAGAAAGACACCACGGTGTGGGGGCCGGATTCCTACTTTTGCGAGACCTCCTGCCCTACAGACTACATTCGACTCGGCATGGAAGCCGGAAGCTGTGGTTACAATATGCAGGCCTACTGCTGCGGCGGCAAGACCACCACCACCACCACCACGAACACCACCCCAAACAATACCTGGGAATACATGCAGTACGCGGAGTTTGCTCTGCTGCTATCAAACTACATGGACAATCCCTATTGCTATGATAATGAGCTGAGCGTGCCAGGTATCGACTACTTCTACAGTGTAGCCGATGGCAGCATCACCAAGAAAAAGCGAGAGTTGCTTCTTGGAAGGACATGTACACTAGACCAATGGCAGACTCTCATTAAATGGGTCACCATGGTCTTCAGTTCCAATACTCCCGATTGGTCTGTTAAGCTACTGCGTGAAATCTGGGATGAGCAATTTGCTGGCTATTACTCATTTACCCTACAGTACGCAACCTTAGCCCCTTTCCTCGCGACCTTTGCCGAAGCGGGACAAGATATTACTGCCTGGATCACGGATATTCTTCGGGATCCCATCAATGCAGCCTCTGATATCTACGATGTTCAGTTGGCTATGGATCAGCTCTGCACTCTTGATGATGACAACAGTGATAATGGCGATGACAGCACCACTACCTCCACATCAACCAAGCGATTCTTGCATGGGGAGGCATTGCTGCCCCGCCTAGAAGAGGGTAAACGACACATCAATGGACTAGGTGAGTTACCCATCACACCCGGCTAAGAGATTTCAGTCAAATGATGCAGCTTTGCTAACAAGCCTTGTCATCCCAATCAGGCGACTCCACAAGGGAAAAGTCTCCCGGTATGTTGGAGATTCTAAAAGCGGTCAATGCTGGCACTCTTCCTCTCAACTACGCACGTTGGCTGAGGTATGGGGCGAAAAGAACGGGACGCAACTCTAAAATCAAGCCGGGGCTCATCCTGGAACTAGCCTACTGGATTGGTCCGGAGGTGGGGACTGTGGGAGACAGCTCCTACAATCAGTACCGCGATATGAGGGACGGCACTGGTGCAGACCAGTGGGTCATCTTCCACATACACTTTGACGAGATGGGAGTTGACTCCGGCATTCATCCATTCGTTTCGTCGGTCAGCGGACCTACGCACGCACCCAGTCCATCCAAGTTTACCACGGCCGATACACATATAGGGCCGGTAGTAACCTGCGTGTCGATCCCGGAACCCCCACTACGGACCGATCGAGCGTGTTCTACTGCTCTGGAAATGCGCACTGGGACATTGGCAGTGTGCGTCAGATTCCAGATGCTGATAGTTGGGGGGGCGAATTGCAGACATGGGGAAATACTCTGGCGAGTACATATCTCAGAGCAGAAGCCTGGAGGATTGTATACCCAGAACTAAGTGAGACCGGGGGGCAGATCGATGCAGGCTGGATTACCGCAATCAATCAACCCAGTGTATATGCCCGCAGCAGCTGGATCCTCAACGCTACTCGTCATGTGTTGACAAATGTGTATGTCCCTAATATTCCTGAACCTAGATAACAGCCTCTATCTCAAGGCATTCTAGGACGTTGCCTGATAGAGCAACCTTTCGTCTCATCTACGCCGTTATTCAAATGGAATGTTTTTGGAGCCAGAACACTGGCACTCACTGTCACCGTTCGGTGATATGCAGTATGTATGGGTTGTTCATAGTTATGTAATGTGGTCGAACTTTCTTACGACATTCATGTGAGCCCGACATTATCAAACTCACGTGCTTCGTTACAGTCCATTTTTCTGTATAGCATACTAGGCGATACCTTCATTCTTGCTTGTATGGCATATTATAGTATGTCCTAACAGCCCTCTAGCATACCCCCGTAGAAAATTCTGGCTTCCCTGTTGTCTTGAATCTGAAATTGTTCAGGTCAGGCCTGAATATGCTCCCAGTAAGTCTTGGACGGAAGTTTGATTATATTCCACTTCCTACCAGAATCTAGCTATAGCCATCATACACCTTCTTTTTGACTTCTAGGAAGAGTATGAAGCCCACATTTGATCAGACGTTATGCCATCCTTCCAAGTGATAAAGTGGACAAGACACTACCATAAGCTAACTAGCTATTTTTGCTGACCTGTACTCACGTAAAGTGATTTGGGTGGGGGGCGGACGGTCGAGATTACTATGGGTTGCTGTGATCTAAGAGAAAACGCTTGTCGCTTGTGTGGCATGGCAGGTATCCACTGATCATTGATTCTTTGCCTTAGCCTATAATGTAGCGCAAGGGGGAAATGGTGTGGTGCTGTTGATGGCCTGGTCCACCTCCAATCAACCTCTTAACAGTTACAGATAACGGAATATCTCATGTTGACTCTGATGAGCCACAATCTTTGGCGTTGGGATGTTAGAAGGTGTCAATAGTGATTTGCGTGCTACAAGGTGTATTCCAGCGATGCCTGACGGATATCATGTGCGGCTGTTTTTCACGTGGTGAAGATTGAGACCCCGAAACGATGCTAACTATCCTGGAACCACAATTGGTGCTATATATCTCCTAGTAATTTGATTTCCTGATCTCCGCTCGCTGAGGAAATTGGGTACATCAAATGAAGCAAATTATTCTCCAAAGGGGATTATACCAATTATCTGAGAAACACAGAATTTCAGCCCCGCATGAAATCCCTACACTCTAGGCCTTTGCCTTGGCTAAAAAATCTCTCACTTCTACTAGCAAGTGTTATCTTTTAAAACTAAAATGCCTTTATCTTCACCTGCTACTTGCGATCATTACGAAGACGTGGTGGAATTTCTTGGTGGAGCGTCGTGCATTCTGCCACCTTCGTATGTTCGTATACTCGGGAGGGCTGTTCGTAAGTTCGTATAGTTCGCATAGAGCAGCCCCACACCGGAGACACTCCGTTTCCAGTTTTAGACTTTCAAGCTTGATTTCAGGCAGTCTATCTAGGGCAACGTATGTGGTTAGTGACCTTAATAAAGTGCAGGTACATGAATTTGATGGGGTTGTTAGGTTAAGCAGGTATGGTTTTCAACGATGCGCGATGGCAGCCTTTTCTGCGGGAGACCTGGGTTCGAGGCCTGGTCTGCGTTATCTAACTATTGGATATGGCAAAATGTTCGACAACGTAGATATGTGAGAAGAGTTTTCCCTTCAAAGTCTGGATCGAATATGAGGGCCCCATGTCTAGGTCTTCTTCAATATGCAGGGCCACGGTCTGTCAGTATCACGATGTTTCGTTGGGTAAGGATTATCAGATAGACCCTATACTAAGGATATCTCCAATTCTGATATTAATCTACCAACGTAGGAATCCATTCCAATTTCTTCATGTATTTATCGTGCTATCGAGTCCCGAGGCTGAAAGTCCACGTGTTGGGATCACCCCAAAACGGCAATCTTATCATCTCAGAACATAACTAATTCATCAATCCACTGTGTGCAGCAGGCGTTTCCTGAAAACTGTGTAGCCTATCCCCTCTGCGAGTAAAAACTCAGATGTTGATCCCCTGGGTCGAGGCGGTTAGGGCGTGGCGGACCGCTCGATCTCTCCGCGGACCCACACGTATTCGTATATGCTAAGGCTTGAAGGATCTCAGGGTCAAATGCAGCGAAATTGATATTCTTATATTAGTCTCATCTCATCTTGTGCTACAGTCTCCATTCCTCATCGACTCTCTCCTTCATTCCTTACCCCTACTATACCCAAAATGGCCTCCCAAACCGACTCCCATATATCCTTCGTCCTCTATCGATACACTCCGTCCATCCCAGCCGCTGCCATTTTCACTGCTGTTTTCATCATCCTGGCCATAGTTCACACCTATATGGCTTTTAGGTACCGGTCTAAATATTTTATTCCTTTTATTATCGGTCTACTGTGTAAGTACATTTTCGAAAATCTGCAACCATCACCAAGCTAACTTACTGCGGTATGAACAGTCGAAGCAGCCGGCTACATCGCCCGAATTTTCTCTCATTATAACCCTCTCGCCCTCGGCCCCTACATCGTTCAGACCATGCTTATCCTCGTCGCGCCTCCGCTCTTCGCTGCCTCCATCTACATGACCCTCGGAAGATTGATCCTCTACCTCGACGCCGAATCTGCCTCTCTCCTCCGCGTGAAATACATCGCTAAGATATTCGTCGTCGGGGATATTATCTCCTTTTTATTGCAATGCGGAGGTACCTATACCCTACTACACCATCACAATCCTCCCGAGATCCTCTCTAACACAGATTTTGTATTGCAGGTGGTGGCTACATGTCCGCCGGCAGCCTCTCCGCCATGGAAGACGGCGCGCACATCGTCATAGGCGGTCTAGCCGTGCAACTTCTCTTCTTCGGATTCTTCATCATCGCTAGCGCTATTTTCCATTATCGCGTTAAGAAGAATCCGCAATACTACAATACTAGACAAGTGGCATCCTCCTCCCGTCGCGACTCGTGGGAGTGCATGCTGTGGTGTATTTACGGGGCGTGCGTGCTTATTCTCATTCGGTCGATTTATCGTGTCGTTGAATTTGTGGAGGGGAACGATGGATTCGTTATGCACCTGGAGTATTTGTTGTATATCTTTGATGCGGTGTTGATGGCGCTGCAGGCGATCTTGTTGTTGGTTGGGTATCCTGGGCGGGTGCTGGGAGGGGGAAAGAGGAGGGATGGGGGTGTGTCTTTGGAGGATAGGGCGGATTCTGAGGAGAGGTTTTTGAGGGATGGGAAGGTGGCTGTTTAGGTTTTTGATTCGCAATGGGTATGTATTTTGGATGAACGGGATGGGATCAGGGATTGGGTTTATGGAGTTTGAGGCGTATAATTGTGCTATATAGACATTTTGTTATTATTGAGTATGATCTTGATAAAAACAGCACATTGGCATGGCGTTACTCTTCCTGCATTGCCATCGGCCACTGCATCAGAGGCATCAGCGCTCCATCTCCCAGCTTTACAAGCAGCATATGGGTGTTCCGGATCTCTCTTGGAAACGTCCCTCGTAGATACCACAGATCCTCAAATAGAAGCAATATCACATAGAAATGTGCCAGGATCACATACGAAAAGCCTTCGAAGATACCAGCATCTTGTCCCTGCTGTATCGACAAAATAAACGATTGTGATATGAGATGCGGCCACGACAGGACAGCGGCATCTTCGAGATCGGTCTGAATATCCATTGAGATGGAGCTATCGCGCTCACTAGCTGTGAACCGAAAGACGTAGAGAGTGCGCATGTACATGTCCTCAAGACGATCGATCGTGCTGATCTGTTCGCGTAGAAGTTCTGGGATCGTTTGGATGTTGGGAGATCCATAGGATTCTGGGCTCGGGGTGTCTTCCATGTTTATCCCATAGTCCTGGGTAAGAGTGTTTGCGAAGGCACGCAATAAGGAAATCTGCTGAGCGGCGCCTTGGGAGAAGCGGATAAATCGAGGAGGTGCGCCTTGTAGACGTGGAAACACCGGTGTTGGTGATGTGGCCGGAAAGTCCTTCCAGTGCTCATTAGCGTGAGGATAATTCATTATTGTCCGTAATCTGCTGATCCGAAGGACGGCATAGTGCTCTCCTACGAGGGCTCCCAAACCGCGAACTAGATGCAGCCAGTCAACCCAGGGTTCTCCGGCTGAGTCACCATTGTGGAAGCTCAATCCCTTATCGCCTAAGGCACGAATGCGCAAGGAAGCAAAGGCAAAGGCCACTATTAGGATGGAGCCACAGAAGATGTATTCGGATGTACTAGCTGTCGCCTCTGATAAAGCGTGTCGGAAGCCTTCAATGCCTTTCTGGTGATGATCGAGGATCCGGTGATAATCACGAAACGATTTTGCTTCGGGGTTGTTTTGGAAATTCGGGTCAAGATTTGGGTCCAAGGGATTGGTTTCGGGTGAGTCTGCCTCGCATAGTGCATGCGTGCCGGCCAGCGCAAGGAGAAGATGCATCAGATACTCTTCTTCTGCAGCCAGGGTTGGGATGACTCGCTGCCAGATCAATTTTCGCTCCGGATGGAGAGCCATTCTGGAAGAGACATGGACCATGAAATGCGTCAAAAGACTCATGTCTGGCATGTCAAGGCTCTCGTTGTGATGAGAGGCCTCCGCTGATTCAGACAGCGGTGGTATATGCAGATCTAACGGCCGTAGTGGCTGCCCTACATTATCGCTCGCAAGGCGACGAGCGCGCCCTGCACTTGTGGGACTGTTATTTTGTAGGTCAGATATTGGAGCTGAAAAGGGGTCAATTGCCACATAACGTCGTCCTCATTGACGTGAGGTTTGGGTACCTACATTACATGCTCATCTAGTGGCGGAAATGAGCATGGTTCATCGCGAAAGGAACACGCGCCACAAACCGGTCTTACTTCATCACACTGGAAGCGGTCAACATCGCAACTATTTCTCCGCATGGCGCTTATACAAACCTTGACCCGGCGTAGCTTGCAGGTGTAACAACCTTTGCGGGATTTGTTGTGGCGCGCCCGTCGCCTTTTGGGATTTCGCGGAGGGGAAACATCGGGCAATGAAGCACCCGTTGAGGATCGGGTATCAGACATAATTTGCTCCCGAGCGAGGCCAATATCACAGTCTCATTGGTCTCGGTAAGGAGCCAGCTGAGAGTGGGAGAAACGGCCTGGAAGTTGGAAAGGTTGATGAGGTGGTGATGCCCTCACCCAAACAGCTGGTACGGGAGGCTAAGTAGACCATCTCTGCACATTAGGCGGATTTGATTCCTGTCAACACATACACAGCCAGACAGAAATAGAAAAATAGACGTACTCCCTTATCATGTTACTGAATATACTGGTATGTAAAGAAGTGCACTTAGTAGCTGGATGGTGAGCAAAGGGCGGGGTTTTGGGGGGTTGTTGAAGATGTCTCGATCTCAAAGTATATCTTGAACGCTTATCAGATGGAAGATGCAAGCTGGACGCTGGACGGGAGTCATCCGGGAAGATGCACTATACTGGACTACATGTATAATTCAGTCAAATGGATCAATGATATTTTTATGGTCAGTAGAAACATCTATTTAGACCATTACCACCTCAGCCCCCAGTCTCACACAGTACATGCTTGTCCACAGTCGCAAGGGTGGCCATTATTGGTGGACGACATACTAGATCTCCTGGGAACTATAAGCCTCCACAGCATCAATTCCAACAGTAAAATACACGCAGAAGAATAAAAGTCACATCTCTCCCTAGGGTTTGCTTAAGTACTATTTCCGGCAATGGCTGCAGTAGACTCTACCCTAAAGCTTCTTCGACCCTCTGCGAGGAGGAAGGCAACAGGTTAGGGCTAGTACTATGAGTGTATTTCTAAGCTACAATATAGGGCCTGCTTCATATCACATGCAATTCAGTGCAGGTCAGTACTCAAAAGGCAGCGCAAGGACGAAGGGACCACAGCTATACGCGGCATATTCATCGCTTTCTCTAGAATGTTCGTCCGAATGCTTAGAAGCTCACACGGGGTAGCCTTGTCCGCTAATGTATTGGATAAGAAATTACTCATAGTATCTGCGTTAGTTTCTGGGATTAGCTGAGGGCAATCAGACGACATTGATGTGGAGTTCGTCAACGTAAATACATGTGATACTGAAACATTTTTCTCGCCTATTTGATGAGCAGAGTCGAAAATGAAGCATCGGAATGATCATGTCGCTGAATCTTTTATTACCACCTTCCAACACATAATGTGATGAGTCTTATTTTCTTTTACTCAAGAGAAATATTCGCCGACAGGGTGAAGGATAAGAATAAACCAACAAAATGCCCATCCATCAGGAATGTAAACAGGATGCATTGCAGGGCACTGCTATACACACCATCCGCCCGAGAAAATACCGAGTGACCACAACACTAGTGACAAGCCACAGCGCTTACAGCCGCATCCTCTAGCCCAACAAAGACACTTGGGGTCAAATCCCACACGTGGTGAAAACAAACTTCTGACCAGGGCGAATCCCTGAAGTGGCACGAAGCCCGCACAGACCCCCCTACCTTTAGAAATCCAATCGGTTGGTCATACAAATTCAGGCTTTTCTCATCCCTTCACCCCTTGTTCGGGCTTCTTTCCGAGTCGTGGGGACATATTTCGGAGACATTGGGGCAATTTTCCTCCGGATGCTGAATAATTGCCGGTGGATCCACGATGATAATTTACCGAATGGGTGTCCATCAGTGGAGCATAACCAACTTGGCTTAAAGCCAGTTGGAGGCTGAGGATCCCCGCGAAGCTTCCAAGCCATTGAAGCCACACTTGGAGACCCAGAAAAAAGTCAGACCATTAATCGGAGACTTTCCCCGATGCGGCAAAGATGCAGATTCTTGTCGATGCCACCTTAATCAGTATACCTCCACTTTTTGGATTTCAAATCAATTTCCACTCGCTTCTATTCCCCATGGGACCGTATAAAAGCGGTATTTCCTCTCAATTGAGTCTCCATCTACTATCCCATACTTGTGTATACCCTACTACTACGTATTCCCTTTAATAATATTTTTATTCACGACATCATGACTGTCACCACCGATCTCGTCAACCACCCTGCTCAGGGCATCTCCTACTTCACTCCCGCCCAGAACACCCCCGCCGGTACCGCCGCCAACCCGCAAACCAGCGGCAAGCCGGTCCCGAAGCTCTTCCACCCGCTCACCATCCGCGGCGTCACCTTCCAGAATCGCCTTGGTGTATGTATCCAATTCCTCAGTATCTTCATATTTCATAGAATCAACTAACAACTGGTATTAGCTCGCCCCTCTCTGCCAATACTCCGCCCAAGATGGCCACATGACCCCCTACCACATCGCCCACCTGGGCGGTATCGCCCAGCGCGGTCCCGGTCTCATGATGATCGAAGCCACTGCCGTGCAGCCCGAAGGCCGCATCACTCCCCAGGACGTTGGTCTGTGGAAGGACTCGCAGATCGGCCCCATGCGCCAAGTCGTCGAATTCGTCCACTCCCAGAGCCAGAAGATCGGTGTTCAGCTCGCCCACGCCGGTCGCAAGGCCAGTACCGTCGCCCCCTGGATCTCCGCTACCGCCATGGCCACGGAAGAGCTCGGCGGCTGGCCCGACCGTGTTATTGGCCCCAGCGATATCCCCTTCGCTGACTCTTTCCCCAAGCCCAAGGCTATGACCAAGGACGATATCGTGCAGTTCAAGAACGACTGGGCTGCTGCTGTGAAGCGTGCTGTTGAGGTCGGCGTTGACTTCATCGAAATCCACGGTGCTCACGGTTACCTCATCTCTTCTTTCCTGTCGCCTGCTGCCAACAACCGTACCGACGAGTACGGCGGTTCCTTCGAGAACCGTATCCGTCTGCCTCTTGAGATCGCCCAGATCACTCGCGACATCGTCGGCCCTAACATGCCTGTCTTCCTCCGTGTCTCCGCTTCCGACTGGCTCGAGGAGACCCTCCCCGAGCAGAGCTGGGGTACTGAGGACACTGTCAAGTTCGCCAAGGCGCTGGCCGAGCAGGGTGCTATTGATCTGATTGATATCAGTACCGGTGGTGTTCACGCCGCTCAGAAGGTCAAGTCTGGCCCGCTCTTCCAGGCTCCCTTCGCTGTGGCTGTTAAGCAGGCTGTTGGCGATAAGCTGTTGGTGTCGGCTGTCGGTGCTATCACCAACGGTCGCCAGGCTAATGATCTGCTTGAGAAGGAGGGTCTGGATGTCGCTCTGGTCGGACGTGGATTCCAGAAGGACCCCGGTTTGACCTGGACTTTCGCTCAGCACCTCGACACTGAGATCTCCATGGCGAGCCAGATTCGTTGGGGATTCACTCGTCGTGGTGGTCGCGAGTTCATCGATCCTAGCGTTTACAAGCCTTCGATTTTTGATGCTTAGATGATATATAGCGGTGATGCTTAATAGATTGTACATAGAATAGACATGACATGCCCGATTCAACCATCTCACTTGTGTCCATATGCCTTCTAACCTTATACAATCTATAATAATGGCAAGATAAGTCAACGCTACTTTTAAATAGAATGTAAATAGAAGGGACATATCCTACACCTATATTGCCCTCATTTTATACAATCTACATCTTATTCACATTGCCTCATCGCCCCACAATTGTAATAATCTTACAACCCCGGCGTCTCCGCAATCCTAAAAACATACTTCACAGCACTCGCCTTCCCATCCATCAAATCCTTCATCGCCCCCTTCACGCCCTCCAACCCACCCTCCCTAACCTGCCACGGATGACCCTTGAACCGCCCATCCTTCAACGCGCGACTAAACCACCGACAAAACACAAAACACAGATCCCGACAATCATCCACCCCATTGGCCTTCTCATGCGCCGCATTCACCCACGTATTCGTCGACAATAACCCGGGCAGATCCTTGGGATCCCGCGGGAGGACATGGTCCACTTGTCCTCCGGGCGTGACTACCTGAGTAAGGACGTGCGCGCTGGTAGCATCGACGATAGTGTCGAGGGCGTTTTTGATGTTCAGATTCAGGGATTTGATGGAGGCGATGGTGGAGTCAGTGCCTGGGCGGTAGTCGATCACCGTGTCGCCTTTGCTGGGGTCGAGTAGGGATTGCACGTAGGGGGACCCGCTGCCCGCGATGGCGATGATCGGGTGGATGTTGCTGGCGCGGAGGAGCTTGATTGCGAAGGAGCCCACGGCTGTGCTGCCGCCGTAGATGACGAAGGGGGTCGGGGTGGTCGTGGCGCTGGGTGGGGACCATGGGGTGGGCAGGGCGTGGTGGTGGTGGAGGGAGATTACGGCTGTCAGGGCTGCGAGGGGGATGGTTGCAGCTTCTGTGGGTGGCAGGGTGGTTAGTGTTGTTCTGTGGATGGGATGGGGATGGGGATGGTACCCTCGAAGGAAACGCTCTCCGGCAAGTGGAAGGTGGTGTGTGCCCAGGCCACGGCATACTCGGCGTATGAACCACCAGGCTTCATCATCTCGTGGAACGCGGCGACACGGTCGCCTTCCTATATTCATTGAGAATGATTAGCATGCGCATGCGAACATGGCACATGTTGTGTAAAGTATACCTTGAATTCCACCACGTTCTTGCCCACCTTCTCTACCACACCGGCAATGTCATCGCCCTGGTTTACGCCGTCGCGGAACTGCGAGTATCGCGAGTACATAAAGCTGTTCGGGTCGTTGGCCATTTCGGCCACCTTCCAGTCCTTGGGGTTGGAGCCGGACACGACCACCTTGATCAGGACTTGGTCATCGTTGAAGCTGGGGATGGGCGAGTCGATGAGCTTGGTGCTCGGACCAGGGAGGTTAATGATTTCCTTCATTTTGATAGTTGAATGTAAGGGTAAGGGATGGACTCAATTGGTATGGAAATTAGTGAATAGGGTATACATATATAGAGGCTAGTATGGACAGGGGTGCTGTCTAGTGCTAAGCTCCGGGGAAGTGAAGAACATTATTAAGCAGGGTGGGGATACCTGATGTCATGAGTTGTTGAATGTTGAGTTTCATGACTCGGGCTCGGCATTCCAGAAAATTAGAGCTGAAGAATGCCGGATAGAAGGACTTCCGAACCCGTTGGTCCGTGCTGCTGGTGATTGCTAATAATTATTAAAACTTCCATGTATGTCCATTGTAGTCTATAGATCTTCTAGTCTATATCTATTATGTTCACCACATTATGCACATTATAATAACGTTTAATCCAAGAAAAAGATTCAAAGCTTGCTTGGCCGCTCGTTCTTCAGCACCGCCGCGTTCCACGGGTACGGATCAAACACCAGATCATTGACCGGGTTCTCCTGGCTGGCCCGCCGGAAGAGATCTGGGTACACTTCACCATCGTACTTGCCAAGACTGCTGTCCAGCTGCCAGTCGGGGATCTTCCACGAGTCCACCAGGCGCACCGCATGCGGGCGGATCTCGTCCAGCAGCTTCATCACCGCATTGGTCTGCGTCAGGCCGATCTGTCGCACGGTCACCGCGCTGGACGAGAAGAACTCGGATGCCTCACGCTCCAGCGTGTGCAGGGCATACAGACGGAACAGCTTGTGCAAGATGCCCGTGGTCTCGGGGTCCAATGCCCCGGTAACCTGGGGAGACGTCACCGCCTCGTAGAAGTTCTTCACCACCAGGTACTGCGAGTGAGCCGTGGACAGGCGCCAGAAGTCAACCAGCAGGCTGTTCCAGGACCGCTTCTCAGCATCACGGTGCTTCAGCGCCTCGAATGTGAGATGAGCCGTCCGCCAGGCAAAGGCAGCCACAATGTCACTGTCATTGCCAAGGATATCGAACGAGGCGCCCTTGTCGCGGCGCGAGAGGTATGCCTGCAGGATGCGGGATGTGTCGTTGTTGGATGCCTTGCCGGCAAGGACAGCGCGGGCAGATTTGAGAAGCTATGCACGTTAGTTATGAAAGTAATTTGAGGAAGCGGGTGACTTACGTATCTCGCCACCTGCTGTGTCAACATGTAGTTGTCACCCTCCCAGGTGAGCGTGGGAAGGTAGTCTGAGTACCACGGTCCAATGCCGCTGTAGCTGCTGTAACCGTGTCCACCACAAGCACGACGGCACACTTCGAGACCTTCACCTGCCGTCGTACTCGCCAGGGCCTTGAGACCACACGAGGTAGCATGCAGATCAGCCAAGAGATCGGCACCAGCCCGCAGTTCCTCCGGTCCAGCACCCCGCTTCTCCTGGGCGGCCTGGGCGGCTGCCTTCATACGGTTCTGGTTCTCCTGGTAGAGCCGCATCATTCCGCGGCCCGTGAAGTGCAGAGCATACATAGATGCCAGCAGGGGCAACAGCCGGACCTGCACCATCTTGTAGTTCAGCACCTGGTTCTCGCCCACATTGCCTGTGGCATCACGGTCCTGGAACTGCCTGCGTACGGCGCAGTAGCGAGTGGCAATGGTCACACCACGTGCCAGGACACCACCGGCCTGCAGCACGATGTTGGAGCGCACCCAGGTCAAAGTGCCATAGATGAGAGACGGCGACGCAGGACGCATGTACTCGTTGGTGTCCTTGTTAATGCGCGAGAAGCGGGCCAGCATGTTGATGTGAGGAATCTTGACCTTGTTGAACAGGAGGAAACCATTGTCCATGGTGCTGAATTGGTCAGTCATAGCCACAAAGCATCTGTCAGACTACTTACTTGTAACCGAACTTGGGACCAATGTCACCCACGTAGACGTTCTCCAGGGGTTGATGTGTGTTCATGTCACGAATCTGGACCACGAATGGATGCGGGCCGTAGTTCTTGCCGCCGATGAATAGCTGCGCCATGACCACAGCATGGTTGGCAGTGCGACCCAGGGATCCGATCCACCACTTGGAAGCTGTCAAGGTGGGAGAGTGGATAGTGAAGGTCTTGTCCTCGGGGTTCCAGGTGGCGGTGGTTTCCAGTCCACGCACATTTGAGCCGTGGCCCAATTCCGTCTGTGCATAGCATCCCAGTATTTGATAGTTCTGTGCCGGCTCGAGGAAGAGTTTGTGTTGCTCGGGGGTACCTTGTTCCCGCAAGGTGACCTATCCGCAGTCTTCATTAGCTTCTGAATAGGGTAGCGTGAGACAAATAAATGTGAAAATGGAACATACCAAAAACATGGATGCATGCAATCCATAAGGCGTGGGCTCTCCCAGCAATTCATTGGCAGCATGTAGCTCCTCCTGGGACCACTTATGTTCCACCGACAACTGCTGCAGGCGCTTGGCTTTCGCGAGGGACCGCTGGATCCGCTCCGTCCGGCCCTGCGTATGATTCTGTGACTTGTCGAAAACTTTCTCCGCCTGTAGGATAGAGAGCAGGTGTTCTTGACGAGCCAATGCCTCCTTGGTGTGCAGCAGTTCAGCCAATTTGTCCACTGCGACATTGGACTGATCGCGCTCGTGCTGCAGAAGCTGCGAGCCCTGCGGGTCAGCCGGCTTCAAAGCCTTGACCCAATCCGGTGGTGAAGATGGCATAATAATAGTAGGAATGATAGAGTGGAGTCTGCGGGGGAGGAGAACGTGGGAGAAGGAAGGGAGAAAGGGTACAGTGTTTGGGGGGCGTGAACGACGTTATAAGCGGTCCTCCACGGGGAAGCCGAAATGATGATTTCGGTCGAGAACGCCCGTCGATGGGCGCTGGACCTGCCCCTTTGGGTAATAGCCGAGGCTCCCTAGGGGTATTGGCCTCGATGCCTGAGTGGCCAATTCCCGGTGACCGACTGACCGCCTGCCGCATGACTTGTTCTGCCGCTCGGCTGACACGTTTCGGGGTTCCCCGGTAATTTTGCCTGCCGGAATCATCTTATCTTTCTCTTTCCCTGCCTGGATCCTCGGGCATCCCTGGCGATCTGATATCTGATACCTAACTAATCCCGACCCGACTTACATGCACTGTCAGAAAATAACCCGGGATGGGATAGAATCTCCTCGATGGACAGAAACTGCTAGGTAACTGCCTCTACATATTTTAAGTATTCTTGGCATGATGTCTCAGCCGCGTGCTTTAGCCGTGTACTACTAATGCCGGCATATCCGCCTGATGAAATGGACTTTCCTCACCAGCCTTCTAATGCGGTGAGACGGATTGCTTGATTGTTCTGGGTCATCAGAATGGCGTTTGCATTATACTTCACATGTGCTGTCCATATGCCCCTTCCATGAGATTCATGAAAATGGCCACACTTCTATATTCTCTGCGGCTCCACTCTCACATGTGAGAATCTGGGTGCTCCGTGTTCCCCGGGTTGAGAACCTGAACCAACTTTGGTGTCATCAACAAGAATCCACATGCCAGCCACATGACTTGCTTGTCCACTACCTCAAACGCTCCAATCAGCTGCTCGCGCGGACTGCATCCTGCGACAGTTCACCTGCTCCCTTTTGCCCGCCTCCGTATGTGTCCGCATATCGCGCCAGCATCCACTCCTCCACTGTAATCGGCGGGTATTTCGCCGCCTCCGTCTCCGCCTTGCAGCTGGGAATGCACTCCACCACGTAGTCCAGATTCCCGGAGATAAAATATGGCACGCTGTATCGTTCTTGTCCGCTTCTGTTGATAACCCGATGCAAGTTGGATATATAGCGATCGTTGGTCCAGCGCATCAACATATTGCCTAGGTTCACCACAAATGCCCCTGGAACGGGCTCGGCATCCGCCCATTCGGATGCCTCGCGGTCCCACACTTGCAGACCCCCTTTGTCATCCTGCAGCAGGATTGTGAGGCCGCCAAAATCAGTGTGAGCCCCGATGCCTAGGACTTTCGTAAGCAGACATGTTTGCGACCGTGGTTGAGATCATACCGCGTTCCTGACCATCCGTTTCCTGGGGCGGATACCGCACTAAGCGTATAATATTGGCCGAGTCGTGGCAAAACCCATTAAACCAGTTCACATCCAAGTCGAGCGTTTGAGCCAACACCTGGAATATCTTGAGTCCCAGATCGGACATCACCGCGTGGTAGTCTTTCACCGTACGCCGGAATGATCCAGGATCTCGGATCTCATCGGGGTATTTATTTGACCCTTGAGAGAACCTTCCGGTGAAGGGATGCCCTGGCGACAGATCCTGCGATAGATAATAACTCTCTTTAAGATCACCAGGTCCTTCTTTTTCGAATTTCTGCGAGCGAAGACCTTCGTATCCCAGATTAACGGGCTCAATCTCTGTTCAAGCATTAGTGGTCGAGATCGGCTCTGCTATAAGCGTCAAACTCTGCATGAGATTACCTCGACTGTACTTCTGCTTCACTTCAATTGGTAAGCTGAATAGGTCCCGAGCCTGCTGAAGCATAGCCTCTTGTATATCGAGTGGGACTCGATGGTTGATGAGTTGAAAGAATCCATGTCTCTCACACGCGTGACGGACTTGCCGCACTAGCTCTGCCTTTTTCTCAGCATCACCGGTGTAGAATGCTATAATATGTCAGGCGAAGACAGATATATCGTTGCAATCATGGTGAAAAGATGTGACAGAACTTACGCTCAAAGTCAATAATGGGAGGTGCAGTAACCATTGTTCCGGAATTGTGATGACAAGGACAACCTCGGAAGAAGATTGTCTTGGTGAGCAAGCGGGGTATGAGGCCACCTCGACAGCTGCACCACTCGTTGGTCAGCTTTTGTCCTGCATATTTATCAACCCCTGTCAAAACGGACCAGAAATAGCGATGATGGGGAGGTGCGAGCGTTAGAACGCCGTCCGTGTCACATCGGATACGCCAATACGACTCTTCCTTTGCTTTGCCAACCTGGAAGTATTTCCTTGAAATCATTCTGCGTAGAAAGCCAAATGCCAGTTCAATAGTCATTCAGCAAGTATCTGAAATTCACACTCAAACGAGAAGCTAGATTAAAACACATCAAAGGATAACTTGGTATCGTTAATCTAATGCTAATAAAAATTGCTAGGCATTATGCAACATCACAGTTTGGAGAGCACACCGTCTGGCTGGAGAACACATAAATGCCTTCTCTGGATTTCAGAAATCGACCGACATCTGGAATAGTTAGCATGGTACCTGTTGGTAATCATACACATCAACTTACCCAGCGAGAGCCATCGTGATCATCAACTCCTGGCGCAATATCCGAATAGCAAGCTCCACTCCTTGCTGGCCATCATACTATAGCTGGTTACTAGAATGCTCACAGCAGCTATCGGCTTCAACTTACAGCAAGACCCCAAATGGGAATCCGTCCCATGAAACAGTAGTCTGCCCCCAGAGCCAGGGCCTTGAAGATATCTGACCCCCGGCGGATTCCACCATCGATTGCGATCGGGATACGGCCCTTTGCAACGGGCGCGCAGTCGCGCAGTGCATCCAACGTGGCCGGGGCACCGTCTAGTTGGCGACCACCGTGGTTGGAAACAATAACCCCATCAACCTTGTGTTGTATTGCCAGTTCAACATCCTCGGGTGCATAGACTGCCCGTGTCAGCCAATCTAAGTTTGCTTCCATCTGGAGTGCTTCACTTACTGCCTTTCAACCAGATCTGAAGCTTGGTATGTTTCCTCAGCCAGGGGATCGCGCTATCCCAGTCAAGACTAGCATCTAGTAATTATCAGCGGCTCGTCCGAGGGTATATACGAAAATTACCAACCATAATCTGTGCGATCGGAGGTATCGCTGCCATTACTGAGAATATTGGGATATTCCATATCTTTCGGTAGCTGGTAGTCGTTTCGATACTCATTGAGCCGCTTCCCAAGCACAGGAACGTCCACCGACAGGAACAACGCTTTGTAGCCCGCCTTTTCTGCTCGTTCCAGTAACTGCAATGTGAGTGACCGATCCTTGAGCACGCACATCTGCATCGCATATGGATTCCCGCAGCCTTGACTGGCGACATCTTCCATCGAGGTGGTCGAGTATGAGGACAGGCCCATACAAATACCGTATTTCGCGGCGGCACGAGAGGTTGCGAGCTCTCCTTCGGGATGGGCGAGTTTGTGCGCGGCTGCTGGGCTGAAACCGAAGGGAAGGGATACCTGTATGGTTGAGGAAAGGTATCAGCGACAATTCTGTGGTCTATTAGACTAATATGGGTGCTACCTTAGTCCCAAGTATGTCTGTGCTGGTGTCGATGTTAGCCACGTTTACGAGGACCCGTGGGCGGATTCTGTATCTGTCAAATGCGGCTTCGTTGTCGCGTAGTCTGTGCCATCAGTGATTGTTGGATAATGGTAGCTTCGAAGATCTGTGCATACGTTATTAGGTCCATGGCACCTTCATTGTAGTAATCTAATTGTCACTAATGTTAGAAATCAACATTGCATGTTTCTCAGTGGTCAATTGGCCCACCTCTGACCATCTTTGGGAGCTTCTTGCTCCCAGTCGCCTTCAGGTCGGCGATACAGCTGACATCCTTGTGGAATGTCTCTCCGCGATGAGCCATGCTGGCAATGAGATCAGTACAAGGCACCGGTTGATGAAAATGCGTCAAGAGAAGCAAGTGTCAGGTTTCGATAATATTGAGTTATTCTGTAGTACGGCATAATTGGACCTATATACCACATGTCGGTGTCGCCGACTTTCCTAAATTTTTGTTGTCCTGCGACCGCAGCTATTCCTTGACACCGAAAGAGGAAAGCAGAAGATAACAACTCTCAGATACCTTCCCAGCGTGACGCTGTCGCAAAGCGCGGACATTCTGAATTCAGCTGCCCTAGGGCATTAGGCAAGTCTGTGCAGCGGAGAGCCTTATCAGCTACTATCCCCGGAATTCTATTATGGGGTGACGATCGTTCCTCGGAATCACCTACCAAATAGAAATATGCCCCTCAGAAAGAACAAGTCTACCCCTCATCACATCAATTCAATTTGAACCTGGATATTTGACATGCCTCTTGTTAATTTTTCCTTGTCCTGCACTATTAACTGTTGCATTCCTGCATAGTAGTCACAATGGCGAAAATCTTTCTGTACGTATACTCCCGTGATCTAACTTTGCCATTGCGATTAACGGTAGTTATAGCACAGGAGCCTCAGGCTATATCGGAGGGGATGTGCTCTATGCGCTGAAATCAGCCCTTCCAGCCTGCCAGTATACAGTCCTGCTGAGGGACGAGGCAAAGGCGCAGAAACTCTCTCAAGCATACCCTGATGTACAAATAGTCCTGGGAGACTTGGATGCTTCTTCTACTTTGGAACAGCAGGCACGGGAAGCGGACATTGTCATCCGTGAGTATCCCACTTCGAGACACCCCCTGCCTCTTACTAACATTGGTCTGTTTCTACTAGACACCGCAAGCTCAAACCATGTCAAGAGCGCTGAGGCCATCGCTCGTGGATTGACCGCATCGGAAAGACCTAAGCCAGGTAACTAACTTTTACCTCCATGTCCATCCGCTGCTTATCGTTGCTCATAATACAAACAGGTCACTGGCTTCAAATATCAGGCGCAAGCGTCCTTTCTATTCCCGACATTGTAGCCAGCGCCTTTGGAGAACCTTCCGACAAGGTCTACAGCGACGTCGATGGAGCCGATGAACTGCGGGGGCTCATCCAACAATACTCTGCAAAGCGCGTGGTCGACAATTTAATCCTCAGCCTCACCCCTGCCGCCAATCGTCCGAAAACCGCGTTGATCTTCCCTCCTATCATTTATGGTCGGGGTAGAGGACCGGTTAACCAGCGGAGCATACAAATTCCGGAGCTGGCAAGAGTGACGATGCAACGACGGGGCGGGATTCAGGTGGGTAAAGGAGAAGCCACATGGAGTAATGTACACATCTCGGATGTCAGCAGCATCTTTGTGAAGCTGGCTGAGAAGGCTTTACGGGGCGAGGAAGGGGACTTGTGGAATGAGAACGGGCTCTACTTCCCGGGTACTGGGGCTATCGTAAGTCCCTACATATTGAACTTTGAGCCTGAGCCCAGAACGGGGTGTTTTCTAACGAGACATAGACATTCGGTTCTATCTCAGCGCAAGTGGCGCAAGAAGTTAAGAAGCTCGGCCTTGCTGATTCCGAATCGGTTACTAAGATCAGTCATGAAGAAGCCGATTCGCTCACTCCTCATGGCGGAGTGTTATGGGGAACCAATGCCCAGCAGGTAGCCCAGCGAGCGGCCAAGTACCTGGGATGGGTCCCCGCGGGGAGGACATTGGAGGATGAGATTCCACAGACCGTTCTTGCCGAGGCACAGAGACTTGGACTGAAATAGATCTATAAAAAATCAGGAATGAACCTATTCACAATTACGTTATTTGCCCACGAAAATCGACATGTCTGGTTATCCCGCGTAGAACCTGCTGTTATCAAGATCCCATCAGACTTCAGGGCCTAAACCCAGGACAGCAGGTCCTTCCGACACTGCTCTGGTCCGAATTGGAAGGAGATTCCGGATCGGCGGAACCACATTCCTCCCCGGTCGGGCCACACCCTCCTTTCTTGTGACCCGCTACTAATTGATTCACTTTCCAGCTCTAACACAACACCGGCTCATACCCCAGATTCTATTCATTTACTAGACTTTCCGTTTTTGTTGATATGGCCTAATTCGACTGACATGGCTTCCTCCAAGCAATCAGGTCGCCGGACTCGTCGCAGTCATGCCCTGGGAGCCTGCAGAACATGTCGTCGGCGTCATGCCAAATGCGATCAAAAGAGGCCTACTTGCCAGATGTGTCGGGCAACTGGCGTGATATGTGAGGGGTTCGTTGATGAGATCCGATGGATGTCCGATCGGAAGTCCCAACCTTCTTCCGGGACAGCAGCTGGCAAGGCAAATGATGCAGAGAAGCAGGGGCCTCGACGCCATCTCTACACAGGTTCTTGATCCTTCTCTATGATTGATTACCTGATTTCCAAATCCAGAATAGTGAAGCTAATATTCTGACCCTAGAGAAATCAAGGGTCTCTATGAGTGATGCCTTGAGTGCAGACTTAGTGTCAGGCTCTATTGATGCCTCTTTGGCAGAGATCGAAAACAGATTCCGGGATGCCGAGAGACCATCACAGGGTGATATTGTAGTCGGGCCATTCTCTGTACTGGACTTTAGTCTTACCGACCCCAAACCTGCAAGTAGGGCTCAGCCTGCTGACGAGACTACGGTCGCAAATGACGTGGTTCTGTCGTCCGCGAATACCTTGCCTGAAGGGGCTTCCGGGGTCAGCCCAGCTCTGTCGCAAGACTCAATCGCCTACATGAATGATCTGCTGCAGTGGTCAGACATTCTTAGCTTGGATCCTCAGTTGCATAGTGCTACACTATCTGGCACACTTGACCTGGGTGACTGGTTGCCCCTCGATTTAGGGACACAGGCCCCTATACTAGAACATAATCTCCTTGGCGAAGCGCCTAGTCTGGTGGATGATACAGCTGCTGTCTACAATTCTGGCCCAGAAGATTACAGTACTTCTAAGGTGATACCAGCGGTTGATTGCAATCCACCTGATGTACTAGCAGATGCTCATTTCCTATTACGGCACTTTCAGGATCATGTCATTTCGCGTATGATGGCCGTTCCTATAGACCAGAAGTCACCTTGGAAGATACTAAATGTGCCGTCTGCTGTTGTAACATACAGCGATATCACTTTCCTTGGGTCTCAAAATATCACTCACGCTCGTTTGGCTAATCTTTACCGCCTCTTGGCCTGTTCAGCCCTTCATCTAACAATAAATCCTTCCATGAGGACCTCGGACTCGACGGAGCGCTGGAAGCCGGTAGCAGAATACGCTTACCATCTAGCCAAAGACCATATGCAGATGTCATTGAAGCATGAAACGCAAGAGCCAAAGAAGGCCAAATACAAGGATCAGTTAATGGCAATTTGCGCCTTGACTGAGTTTGCTGTAAGACAGCTGTCAAGTTATGTCCCAGATAGATTACTGACCGAAGCAGATTCTAAGTAGCCAGCAGCAGGACGCAAGGTGCTACATGATTGATGCCGAGCGGCTGCTACGCCTCCGAGGTTTGCCAAAGCAACGCATCTCTCAAAAAGCACGCCTGCTACACCACACATATACTTGGCTACGGATAGTAGGCGAGAGTACCTACGCTTTGCATAACTACATGCCGTCGGATACCTTTATGGAGGCGCTCAAATACCGGTTTCGTAACCAAATAGTTGAGAACACCCAGGCAGCTGGTTACCGAACTTCACGCTTGGACGACTTTTTGCGCCTCGATCGGCGGCCGTCCGATAGCGACCTGGATATTGACGAGCCAAAGGAAGCTGATGTTGGCTTATATGATATCCACCTCCAAGATTCGCGGAAATATCCAGCCACGCTGTACAGCCAGATCTACGGAGTATCCGAGACGTGGCTTAGCTTGGTATCTCAGACGACACGCCTGGCCAATGTAATGGAGACTTTTCGAGTTGCGCGCGAGATGCGTCAAGGAATAAATGCAAGTCTCGAAGCATGGGAAGCTTTACATCGGCGCAGTGCTCGCCTCGAGAGCATGATTTGTACATTCGCCTCTAGAAGGACAGAGGACAACATATGCGGTTCGGCAAATATACTGGCCAGGTCACATGGATGCCTTCTGCAGGCTTTGAACTCTGCGCTAGTTATCTTCTTTTACAGACGAATCCGTCAGGTCCACCCGGCTATTTTGGAGAGCCAAGTGGACAAAGTGATCTCAGCATTAAACGAGTTTGATGTAGTGTTAGTGGAAGCCGACCAGACCGGCCCAGGCACTGTATGGCCTCTGTTTATTGCTGGGTGCGAGGCTACAACGCCTGATAGGCGGCAATCGATCATGGCGCTTCTGGACAAAGGAGAGGCACGATGTGGATTTTCAGCTTACGAGACTGTTCGGGAGGTCATGAAACAAGTCTGGGACAGACAAGATGAACATTTCACACGAAGCAGAGGAGAGACTTTCCCGACTTGGCTTGATGTCGTCAAAAGCAAACAAATATGGCCCATTTTAGCATGATGACCCCCGTGGGTCCATTACAAGGCGCTACACGAGATACGATGACATGTGCCCATAACTTCATTGTTCTATATCCAATTTTAATGACATCATGACGAACGCTTTACAACATTAACACTCGCATTTACCATCAAGTGGGCCAGTTCGCTCTGCAGATCCTCCTTCAAGAGGGCGAATGGCTTCCGCAAGCCACCAGTCGCCTGGCCCCTCAGCTCAACGCCTGTCTTGACAGCCGCAGCGTAATTGTGCGACTCAAGGAACTTGCAAATGGGCCATGCCTTAGCCCATAGTTCACGGCCCTTCTTGAGATCTCCTTCGACAGAAACCGCATTCCACAACTCTACCGCCAACTCCGGGATGATGTTGGCAGCACCCCAAACCGCTCCAGGCGATCCAGCTGCCAACCCATAGAACGTAAGGGTATCCCACCCGTTGAAAGCGGTGATCTGATCCGACAATCCAAACACCAATTCCGTGTAGGCCGGCGCATTTCCGGAGGTGTCTTTGAGGTACTTCACGCCGACCTTGCTCAGGTCCGCTATTTGCTGGGGGGTAAGGGTCAACCCGCTGGCAGAGGGAATATTGTAGTAGACAATCGGCAGCTGACTGGCTTCATGGATCTCAGCCATGAGCTCGGTCAATTGCTCCACGTTCAAGGGATCGTAGAATGGTGGCACAACCATCACGGCGGCTGCACCAGCTTGTGCGGCATGACGTGCCAGGTCCACTGCCTCCTCGGTGGAGGTACTGCCAGTGCCTGCCACGACAGGCACACGGCCAGCTGCGTACTCGACGCAGAGCTCGGTCAGCTTCTTGCGTTCTTCGCGTGTCATGGTGGTGAATTCGCCTGTGCTACCGCCAGGCACAAGGCCATGCACGCCGGCGCCGATCAGGTGGTCGATGTGAGACTTGAGTCTTGCTGCGTCGATCTGAGTCTTGTCGTCTGTGAAGGGAGTGATCAGGGCGACCATGATGCCCTGAAGGGCGGGGAGTTGCTGTGCGACAGTCATGTTGGATGTAGTGGTGATTGCTTAGTATAGCTAGGAAGAAGAACGTGAGGATGGAACGAGGGAGTGTCTGCTGGACTCGTGAGTGAGCCTTGAAGGCATTTTTATTCCATAACGCGACGGGACTGCCTTCCCTCTCAACTACACTTCATGTCTACACTACATATCAATGATTGTTCTGGTCAATGGCGAAGCCCTAACTCTCTGGAGAGGATGTCGGAGGGGTTCCAAGACATCCATGCCGGAACCACCTTCTTGTTTTGGCGATGCGGGTGACCCATCGGAAGGCAGTTCCGGCATACAGTGGGGAGGGCTTTAGCGCATTTACTGGTGCCAGACTATCAATGCGTCTCGACATCGATGAAGTGAGGGGTAATGGGGCGATCTTATCCTCGTTATCGCCTTATCGGAAGAGACAATTGCTGACTAGTGACAAACCTCAATTGCAAAGTGGGCATCTCGGAGGCACATCCCACATCCGGAACAGGAAGTTCTAGCCAAGCAGCTTATATCAGAACAACACATCTGTCTTCGCGCTGCTTATCCCTATTTTCTGCAGGAGTTGTTATCTTTCTACATTGAGACCCAGAAGAGAATATGGCAGACTCCCTCTTCGTCGACATCACCACCCCCAATGGCCGGCAGTACCAGCAGCCGACCGGCCTGTTCATTAACAATGAGTTTCGTCCCTCGTCGAGTGGCCAGACTATCGTGTCTTTAGACCCTGCGTATGCACTTTACATCTGAACTACTCTCAACCTTCCATGCTGATTTCTACAGCACCGACAAGCCCATCGCCACCGTCCACGCCGCAACAGCAGAAGATGTCAACGCGGCCGTTCAAGCTGCCAAAACAGCCCTGTCGCACTCCTCATGGAAGCTCCTCCCCGCCACCGAGCGCGGCCAGCTGATGGGTCGCCTGGCCGATCTGATGGAAGAGAACCGAGAACTATTTGCTGCCATTGACGCATGGGATAACGGTTCGTATCCCCAAGTTATCACCACTGTGCAGACACTGACTTGGCCAACAGGCAAACCCTACCATGTCGCCCTAACCGAAGACCTCACTGAAGCCATAACCACCATCCGCTACTACAGCGGCTGGGCCGACAAGACCTTCGGACAAACCATCAGCACCACTCCCCAAAAGTTCGCATACACTATCCGCCAACCCATCGGCGTGGTCGGACAGATCATCCCATGGAACTACCCGCTGTCGATGGCGACGTGGAAGCTGGGACCCGCGCTCGCCTGCGGAAACACCGTGGTTATTAAGGCCGCTGAACAAACGCCCCTCAGCATCTTGGTCCTCGCAACACTCATCAAGAAAGCCGGCTTCCCGCCCGGAGTGGTGAACATCATTAACGGCTACGGAAAAGAAGCCGGCGCTGCGCTGGTCCAGCACCCGCTCGTCGATAAGATTGCCTTCACGGGCTCCACTGCTACCGCCAGAGAAATCATGAAGATGGCAGCCGGCACATTGAAGAACATCACTCTCGAGACTGGCGGAAAATCGCCCTTGATCGTCTACCCGGATGCAGATCTGGAACAGGCGGTCAAGTGGTCGCATTTCGGCATCATGTCCAACAAAGGCGAGATCTGCACTGCTACGTCAAGGATCTTCGTGCATCGGAGTATTCTCCCTACCTTCTTAGAGAGATTCAAGAAGGAAATCGAGACGACTTCCAAGATCGGCGACCAGTGGGACGAGAATACCTACCAGGGGCCTCAGGTAACCCGGGCACAGTACGAGCGGGTTCTCGCCTACATCGAGACAGCCAAACAGGAGGGCGCTACACTAGTCACCGGCGGCAAGCCCTATACCCCCAAGGATGAAAAGAATGCAAAGGGCTACTTCATCGAGCCGACAGTGTTCACTGACGTGACCGATGACATGCGCATTTGTAAGGAAGAGGTATTCGGGCCTGTGGTGGTGATTCTGCCATTTGATTCGGAGGAGGAATCGGTGCGTCGCGCTAATGATACCACGTATGGTCTGGGCGCTGCGGTCTTCACGACTGATCTGGAGAGGGCGCACCGTGTTGCTGCGGATATCGAGGCAGGTATGGTCTGGATTAATAGTAGTCAGGACTGTGATCCGCGGATTCCGTTTGGAGGTGTCAAGCAGAGTGGTATTGGGCGTGAGTTGGGTGAGGCGGGACTGGAGGCGTATTCGCAGGTTAAAGCGGTACATGTTAATATGGGGAGTAGGTTGTAGATTAGGCTAGAAGGCAATATGCTTCGATGAATAAATTCTGATGACATTTTCATGTTCTAAATAAGGTTGATCGTTCTCTGTCATCAGCAACTGGAGGTTTTTTTGGAAAGCGCATGAAG